TATATATATATATACATACTATATTTAATAAAAGAAATGAGATACACACGCATGTAGGAAAGAATAATATATAAATTAAGAAATGTATTGATATTTAGTCTTTGCTAAGGCTTAGTAAAGCAAAAAACATATAATATACGTGCGTGGATGTAGAATCCGCTGTTTCGGCCGACAGTTATGCTCACTGATATTGTCACACTCGAGGTCGATCGATACAACTTGTGTGTAAAGCTTTATACATAGTGCAGAACAATTTTCAGGCACGAAGACAGAAACAGAAAGCTAGGAAAAGGAGGTTTTACACGTAAAACACGATGTATCGTATTATGTGTGTAATATCGATAATCGCGTAAAATGTGCGAGATATATCTAATTTTCATACATTTTCTTATTTTCGAATATATATTAGGTACGTTCAACTGAAACGTGGACTAAGGTCGTTGTTCCATAAAAGTCTCAGTCTATGTTTCAATTGAACCTACCTAATAGATGTGAAAATAAAAATGTCTTTTTACGAATGCGAAGAAAATAAAATACGAATTTGCAGAAGCGAAATTTTAATTATGATATAATAATAGATTATTATTATGAAAAAACATTTTCTTAATTCGTATTTTTATATAAAATATTAAGTACAATTAATCAAATCATTATTTTTTAAATTTAAGTACAATTTTTATTGTAAAATTAATAATATTGGAAAATTTATATTTTGGTTAATATCTCTGAAAGACACAAAACTATACGATATATAAAAACATTTTTATTTTCCAACAAAGTTAAATTGTTCAATAGTATATTTATTTTAACGTTATATATTTGTAGCAATAAAATTGTTATTGTCTCTATTAGAGAGGACGAAGGCTTTATTTGACAATATATTTTAAGGACATGATCAATAAAATAATTTTTGTAAAATACAAAAAGAAAGAAATCGCCCAACGTGGGGCTCGAACCCACGACCCTGAGATTAAGAGTCTCATGCTCTACCGACTGAGCTAGCCGGGCTGTCGAAAGCCCGATGTATTTTGCTAATTTTCAGCTTGACGTTAGATACGAATATAGTACAGTAGGAAATGTGATTTTTTTTTTTTTTTTTTTAATTACAGGATAGAGGACTTCCAGTACCAGTGCCGGCTTTCGATGGACCTAGTGCCTTCGTCCCTCTCTCGGAGGTAAGTGATTTTGCATGTGTCAATTGCTCTTTTGTAGATTAGTATGTCACACAGGTCGTATTTACAACCGTTCAAAATAATGGTTAATTAAAATTAACCCAAATTTGATTTTTTAGTCTTCTGTACCTTTCTACTTATGTTTTCAGAGAAAGAGACAGAAATTCAATCAAATCATTATGGTTAATATTAATTAACATTTGTGAAAGTGGCTTTATATAAAACTCTGTGGGGCTTTAGTATATTATACCATACATATATATATATATTGAAGTTTTATCATCGATGCAGCATTATGATTATGTTATGCGATAGTACAATTTTTGCAATTCAATGCCAAACATACAAAATCAAATACACTTTGAGATAAATGAAGGTAAATACGTGTATTAAATGCAACGATAAGGACTATCCAGAATATAATCGATCGTTTTTTCTTTGCAAGGATAAATGTCACGTTTGTAAAATGTTACCATGTTATTATTATTACAAAGTAATACAGTCGAAATATTCAATTTTTGATCATAATATTTATCTCATAATAATATCAGATATAAATTTTTTATTGAAATAATAAATGAGGCATGTGAGCGTCATAAAAATGGAACAATTTATGTCGCATAAATGCGCGATCGGCGATGCGTTAAAATGAATGCGCGCGACTTTTCTTTTCTTATTTTTTATTTTTTTATTTTTTTTTAGAGATTGGCACGGATAGATGAATTATTTTACTCGCGAACGTGGTCACAAAAAGTGGGACATGAAAAACGAATCGGTTAATGTTGCCGCAAAATCTGGGCCATCACATTGGCGCCAATATGTGTTGATGATCTCGCCAGCTGATTGGCAATGGTCGGTAACGAGTCGGTCCTAACAATTGGTTCACATTATACCGGGTGTCAAGTCGGTTCATGTTTATTTGTCCCCCAATGACCTTTAATTTACTTTAATTAAACGTGAGTATTGGCTGTGTGTATTGTAAAATATATTTCTTATTACGTTTCTTCTCTCTCTACATATCTATAGAGATAACTGCATTGCCGATCGAGTAAATATACATAGATTTGACAGATTTTAAAAATATTTTCAACAAAATCTGTTAGTATTCGTGTTGAAAAGAATTACGCGAGGATTGTAATTAATATTGATTATTTTATTTCTTTCTTTTGCTCAATTTTCTACATATTTCCGATTAATTATTACATCTATATATATATTAGAATAATATTAAACCAAAGTATTTTTATCTCGTTTTATCTTTATTTTATTTTTTGCATATATTTTAAATTTTCATATTTTATCGATATAGAAAAGGATAGAAAAGAAGGATATTGATTACAGTGTCAATTTGCAGATGGCGCCAATGATCAAGTTATCGCGCGATTTTAAAGCTGTCGTAATTAGTGTAAACTATTAACGGCGTTTGATATATAAATGCGCACTTTTATGCAAATAATGAATTAATTTCCACGCTGTTTAAAGCCACAAAGGAAATGTAGTTTCCAATATAATCCAAAGAGTTTCAATAACTTGTCTAATTATCATTGATGTCAATTATTAATTATATGGATTACTAATGTTTCGTCGTTATGAATTTTATATAATTTAATAATAATACTCGAATCACATTTTCGTGCTCGAGAATAACTGACACAATGTGCAACGCATTGCATACATTAATGAGAAACTAATTTTGCACAGCAATTTATTTTGATTAATACATGAGTTTATCGCGATCTTTACGACAAAAATGGTCGTTATTTAGTGATTTATGTTATTATCAAATATTACGTAATTCAATAATTTGTGGATTATAAAGTTTGATTTATTTTACGCCATTTCACGGAGTGTAATACATGCAATCGTCCTTGGTTGAGATAAGATTACTACTGTGTCGGCGCGCGTTTTCGTAAGACGAGGGGAAACTGTATTTGCTCGAATTATCATAAAAATGCGAGCTCGTAATAATTATCCACATATATTATACAATGTAGTTATCAGTACATAGATTTGTTTGTTATATAATAAGAATACATATACTTTATGATTCGTAAATAAGTTTGATTTTCGTATACGCGATGTGTCTCAGAATTAAAAAAAAAAAAGCAAGCTGTTGCAGAAAATGTAGTACGCAACATTAAATTTACATTCTATTAATTTTTCCTCGATAGAAGAAACGTGCTATAAATTTACATTTTTTTTCTAAAAGGAGATCTTACGCCGGTAATTTTTATGATTTTTATAATTTATAAAGTGATTATATAAAGTATTGTCTACCTTATGAGAGCTGCAACTGCATCTCTATAGTAAATGGCAGGTAAGTGTAAACAAGTGTATAATTTTTCTACAAATAAATCGCACACTATGGCTTTACTCGGACGCATTGTCTACAATATCTTAAAATAGTTTTATAAAGCGGAAAACAGATTTTTTTTCACCATAGATAAAATATTTCTTTTCTTCACAATATTATTTTGAATACATAAAAAATAATATAAGTTGGCTAGAAGAACAAAAAAAAATTTAAATATCTGGAACTCCTTAGAAAAATGGTTGTAATAGCGATTATTTTAATAATGACTCTTTAAAATTTTCCAAGTTATAAGCGATTAAAAGCTAAAAAACTTTATCTCATATACTTCGGTATTTTATAGGTATGTTTACTAAATGTATAAAATTCTTTCGACGTATATATGATGTATTGCTTATTGATTCCCGTCTGTCATCTTTATGTTATCCTTATACGCTTCGCGACGTCGACGAAGTTGACGATTGATCATCGAGAACTCGGATAGCAACCGATGATGTATCGTCGGAATCGCTGATTTTTATCATTATGTTTTTAGATTCGATCAAGATCTCTCATATCGTGTGGGTGACAGGCGCACGATTTATTTGTTACGTGCGTAATATCATGGTCTCGTGACATCATTCTGGATATCCTTGAATGCATGCGAAACTAGATATGTATTACGAAAAGGAATCGCATATTAGATTATTCAAAAGCACGTAATCAAAAATATCCAACGTAATAATTTGAAACGATTTTATAGCATATTGATTACGAATATATTTTGTCACACAGAGAGACGCGTCATTTTACGTTATTATTTTTATATTTTACTATATTTTTGTATAATTTTATAACTTATACTAGCCATATTTTTCAGTATCTCTCTCTTCTTCGCCTCTTTCTATAAAATATTTTATTATCCAATTTCACTGGGTCGACGCTTTTATTAGATTATTCGAAAGTATATCTTTTCTTCTATAACTATCTCACGTTCTCACACACGGGTCAATTTTCAAGGGATATTATCGAACATTCTACTTCGCGGTAGTTCTCCAGATATCGGGGAATCGACGTCAGATATCGAGAAAATGGTTCGAAATAAACGAAGTTTTACTTTATCTGCGCAAAACTGCTAGTCTTGCATAGCGCAATTCGAATCGCTATTTCTCGAAACTAAATTCGAAACAATCCGAATTTCTAACAAGATGGCCAATTTTTACACACAATACCTGTGTAGAGAGAAAGTTGAAAATATTTTGCGAAAAATTAAATGCGGCAGGAAGAGAAGGGAAGTAACGTGGGACGAAGAAAGATACTGCAAACTCGCGGAAATCTTGATCGGGTCAATGGGTATTGTTCTTAGGTCAAGCGATTACAAACGGCCCATACGTGCTTCAATAGCTCGTACGTGCTATACAAACTCCATTGAAGCGCGAATTGAATCTTCGATTTCACTTGTATCTTTCTGCACTTTCGAAAATGATTTGTATCGCGCAATCTCGCTGATAACGCACTTACAAAGATAGGCGACGAATGTTTTATATTTGTATATACAAGTTCTGTTTTTCCTTTATATAATAACATCGGTTGTTTTTATTTTAATATATTAAAACTACAAAATTTTGTTTTAGAAATGGAATAAGACTTTCTATGAACGAGAAATATTTATTTCTACAACATTTTATTATAGCATTAATTAAAAATTGATTGAAAAGTATAGATCAGTATATTTTATCGTTCCATTTTTTATTTCTCTGAACATTTTTTCTCTTCGTAAGTATTAAAGTAACTATTAATTGCGTATTGGAGCGCGGAATTTAGCTCGTTGAGTTTAACCTTAAAGTCCATAGCACAATAAAGGGCATAGTACACGGTTTATCCCTTAATGACGTTAATTAGTGTCTAAACTAGTGCCATTTCGATATCTCGTCGGTAAAGTGCGAGATACCCTCGACTAAAGCGAACTAATCCGTAAACGGTACTTACTAATTTCAGAAATCGTTAATAGCGAGAATATTAAGATAACGCATCTTAAATATCTTCTTCAATGTTTAATTATTATTAATTTTAAGCACGAATGTTAATTGAAGTAATAATCTTTTTTCACACGAACAAAAAAAATGTACTGATTAGAGCGGTAGAAAAAGTGACCACTTTATCCGCGACCCCTTATCTCCCCCTGTGACGTCGAGCCTTCATCTATATATGATTATCTACGGGTCGTTGACATCGCGCCTCGTCTTCTTTAATGCGCCAATTGTCGTCGTCGGTACTTGCGTGCGTTTATCAATTCGACGTAATGACTCGTATGAATAGAAGGTAGCAATTGCTTTAATTTCGCGGCCGATGTTTCGAAAGATCTCACAGAAAAGGTCGAACGCGATGACGAATGTAATCGTCTTATTTTATTCGTGAATTATATTTTGTTTTTGTTTTTTTTTTGTCTCATTTATTCGTACTGTTACGATAAGCGTAGGAGATAAAGTTAAAACTTTATGATATCATTCTCTTTTTTCCCATAAAATATAACTATTTTTTGTACGAATTTGTTTGAAATTGCAACTCATTTCGGTATAATACGTGTCTACGTGCAATGTGCGTCGCTGCGCTTAATTATGTTACATTTAGTTACGAAACCAATAAACCGTCATCAAAGCAATTTCCATGGCAACGATGAAATGCCATTGCGGAATTCGTGAAATTGTAATTC